CAGAGCGCAAGTGGCCAAAGTCATTTCTGTTTTTCCTGCAGTCTTGGGCTATAGCATCGAGGACAATCTGTCTCTCAAGACCTCTTTTTTGCAGAAGGATTTCACAGATGGGCAGGTGTGCAACATGATTGTTCAACTTCCGGCCATGTTGGGGTACAGTTACAGCCGCCTGCGTCATCGGTTGCAAGTGCTGCGCAAGAGCAACAGTTTGGCCAAGCTTGTCTCTGTCATGACTTTGACGGACAAGCGCTTTGCAGCGCGATTCCCTGAACCAATGTTTGGAGATCCTGCGGCGTTTTCTGAACAAGGATCGTCATAAGTTCTTCTGAGCCTGGAAACGAGTTCCGACGAGGCTCGGTCCAGCTGATAATGCCGTACTGTAGCTGTATTCGAACGTGTTGAAACGAAGGAAGAAAATGAGCCAGCAAGATGCTGTGGCCTGTGTGTCTTTCAAAGTGAACGACCAAAGAACTCCGCACGCGCGCGCGCGGGTGTGTGTGTGTGTGTGTGGGTTGCAGAACATGTTTTCAACGAAGGCCCAACAACGGGGGTGAAAAATCAAAGATGAAGCCAGGTGATTAAAGTTGGCTTTGGTCTGGCAAGCAAAGAAATCAGCACATTATTTTGGCTTGCATACTAGTTACTAATCTGTTCAATGGTTGAAGCTTGTCAGACCTGAGGCAGGGCTTAGAAGAAGTTCCTCCACGGATTTTGGGTGTAAGCTTTGGTTTAGAAGGGTTCCACGTTGGAGCTTCACGCTCCTGCTCCCTCCGCCAAGTCTTGGCCAACAGCGTGTAGCGGAACCCAGTGAAAAGTCTGCATTCAGGAACACACCTCCTGTGGGAGGAGCTGAGGATGCACTTTGTAGATATGGGGTTTTGATTTAACACGCAGCTTTTCAATGTCTACTTGTTCCGAGGCTCCACTCCAGATGCCAAAGAGCAAATCCAATTACCATCTGATTTTTCTTTTCCATTTAATTCTCCATTGCCCAATCCCGTCTTAGAACCCTCGTAGAGGTTTGCAAGTGGCCCAGCCTGACGAGAATCCAGCCAAAAAAAGAGGACACAATCATCGCCCAGTAGTCGTCAGAGTAACTGGGTTGGCCTTGGGGATGTTTCAATGTTTCCCCTTTTGGCTTCATAAGGAACCTATAAAATAATATGTTTTATCAAAGGGCTCCAAAGGTTCACCAAGATAAGAGAATGCATCGCAGCAAGATTTCGTGCCATAAAGCGCCGTACAGCCCATTGGAGATCCACATCATAGTCATGATGACCTTCCCTTTCCGTACTGAATGTCAGCGAGTCATACAGAAACCCATAACCCAAGGTACCAGGTGACTTTTGCGACAGAGGACGGACATGTGACCATGGCTTAAAAGGCGTGTTTCTTCTTTGGACAGATGCTGTTTATGCGGGTTCTGCACGACACCCGTTAGGCCCTGAGATGTTCAAATTAGGGGTGTGGAGAGCCGCAGCATCTGCCTTGACAATTGCCAATGAAGTACCAACTCCTCCTTTAAGGCAGGCGGCCCCCTCCCGCTGGAGGTCTGTTTTGGGGCTTTACCTTTTGTACAGGGAAGGACTTGATTTCTGCGTTTCTTTGGCATTGAGGGCCTGCAAACCACAAAGCCTATCCCAAGAGACCTCAGTTGCAGAAGGCTTGAAGACCTGGCCTGGCAAAATTATAGTACTCCCCAATAAGGATAATGGACAAGAAAATGGAAACTAGGGCTACGGAATAAGTAGGATAATGGAAAAGAAAATGAACACGAAGGTTAAGGGATACATAGGGCTATTCCCCGCAATAGTGGAGAATCAAATGGACAGTAAAATTCAAAACTAAGCGGAGACCGGGGTTTGGGAGCGTTAAGGGTTAAGGATCTTAAGCTTCTGCTGAGCTTGATGAATTTCTGGGTTACTGTGAGGGAACTTAAATTCAGTTACCGTAATGGGTGTATATATATATATATAGATAGGATCTCCCCAGTATAGTAACTTAGATTAAGTTCCTCAACCGCACCCAGATTTCTAAGCTTGATGGTTGATTCCAGTTGCATTGGTCTTCCTGGAAAGTGGGAGTAGCTGTGGCACTAAAGCCTCAATTTGTAAACGTATACCCGTACGCTAAACCCGACATCCCCCCCTAAAACCTAGACCATTTAGAGCTACTTAGGCCTGGGCTCCTACACAACATTAGGTCCAAGCCCCTACACCTCCACCCAACACAACCTTAGATTCAAAGCCTTACAGCCTACGTCCTTAGCCTCCAAGATAGGAACCCTAAACCTCCAAACTCTAAACTCTAAACCAAAACCTTAGATAGTAGTTTCCATTTTCTCTTCCATTATCCCAATATGGCCCCTGCATATCCCCTATACAACTGCTATATAGGAGTCTGCCTGGACCCGAAAGCGGAACGCCGACTTCTTAGCCCTGCAGCTGAAAGTGCAGCAGGTTCGACTCGGAGAGTCTTAGGGTCTATGGATGTAGCTGTTTGGGCATGTAGGCTCAAACGCTTAAAGGTTTAAAGGTTGAAGGGTCTTGGGGGTTAAGATAACCCCGACGTTTATGATGGAGAATCAAATGGAAAAGGCAATGGAGAATGAACTCGAACTGGGGTTCTACAAGGTGGAGGCTTTGATATCCCCAACCCCCAAATAAGGGGTTCAGAGTTTGGGTCTCAAGGTCCTGGGTTTAGGGTTATGGTGCAGCTGAGAACCCGTGAGGCACGGAGGAGATCTTTGTAAAATCCCTCAACGTCCCGAAGGTGTCAGGATTGTCCTACGATGATAGGGGAACAGTTGCCCTGGACCTATCATGCACTGGTGGGAGCTGAATTCATGATGGTAGGCATGGCCACAAAGAAGCAGCAGTTGCACAATAAGAAGGAGAAGAATGGTAGTTCTTGTCGTAAGCTGTTTACTGGCAAGTCACCTAGGCTGACTGCCAAATGTTCGAAGGGCCATGGATGTTTGAGCCCTTGCCAGGTATTCATGTGGTAGTTTCCCAACAACAGGGGGTCCCCAATACAGACCCCAAAATATTACAAATCTTATTATTGGGACCCCAAAAGGCCCAAATTTTGGGAACCCCTACACCCTGTATATAACCCTTGATAATCCCTACAATCCTGAAGGGGGGATGTATAAGGGATTATTTAGGAGCGTACTATAGGGTTTATGAAAGGGGATACTAGGAGTTTAGACTATAGCTCATATGAATGACTCCCATGGCATCATCAAGCAAACATCAGCGCAATTCGAACCGTCAAGTTGAGCTGAGTTTTCTGTGTTTCTAGCAGAAGGTGGCAGGATAGCTCCTCGTTCAGACCCCCCCCCCTCTCCCTTGGTGAGCCCCTGGAGGCCATTACCGCGGCCTACAGTGACTTCGTTTCAAAGCGGCTCAGAAAAATGGACTATCACATATCGCTACGATTCAAGGCTGAGGGTTGAGAAGGCCTGCTTCATCTCCATTATCATGTAATAGTTTCCATCTTCTTTTCCATTATTCCTATTTCCCCCAATATATGCCCTTCTTTACAGTACGCACGGTACAGGAGGCATAGGTTGAAGATTAACTCGAGGGGAGATGACATTGTACAGTGCCGCCTGGTCTTCTCCAAACTGCGTCATCCACGGGCTGAGCAAGTGTGCCTTTTTGAAGCTACCTGCTGCTCTTAGGTTCAGGTCGCGACCCTGTGTTTCCTTAGATTTGATTGCAATGCATGTTTTGGAGGGTATAGCAGGGGACAGCGCCCCTACACCTGAAAAAAGAAGCAGGGGTATATTTTCCTATTATATTTCAGCTGTATTCTTGGAGTTCCCTACTTGGGGTCCCAATTAGAGCTTATTACTTCCTATAACTCCATAAATAATCCCAGTTTCTAGTGCATTTTCCATTTTCTTTTCCATCTGCCTCTCCATAAATAGGCATGCCATCCCTATACCCCAAACCCTAAACCCGACTTCTCAGAAATCCTCAAATGGGGGTTTCCCCAAATTAGGGGTACCCTAGCTTGGGTCTCTTTGATAAGGATTATACTATTTTGGGGCCTATATTGGGATCCCTTATGTAGGGAAACTACCAAAACCCTACTACATTCTGAGGGTTCCCTCCCTCAACCCTAACTCCTTAAGGTTCTCTGTTTGGGATCTCCAACCCAAAACCCCAAACCCTATTGAGGTTCTCTCTTTTGGGTCTCCATTTAGAGTCCTTTTGCTTCAGGCCCACTATATTCTAAGGGCTCCCTGAATCCCTAACTCTAACTCCTTGAGATTCTCTGTTTTTGGGGTCCCCATTTAGATTCCCTTTGCTTCAGGCCCAGCATCTGCCGACGCTTCGGTATTTTCTTTGGCCACCTTCAGCCTTATCTGTCGGTTCAGCTGCTGGGCAGCCTTTGAGAGGAGTTTTGAGGGTTAAGGCTCTTAGGGTTTAGGGGCCTTGGGGGCTTTAGGTTTTTTTGGTTTTTGGGTCTTTCGGTTTTTTGTGGTTGCTGTTTCTTGTTTCTGAAATTTTTCGGGTTCACTGAACAGGGGCTCTAAAGGGATTCTATAGGGCTTGGCATTGTCTCAGGGTGTTGAGGGTAGATGTTCCGGGCTTGGGGCTTCGGTTTAGGGTTCACTCCTTTTAGTTGCGCATGCCAGGTGGTTCATTTTGCAAGGAGCCCCTCAGACCATTGCAGAAAATGGGCTCGGAATCCTGAAGCCTTGACATGGTTGGGCTTCGTATTCCAAACCCAAGCCCTTCCAGTACTGTGGTGCTTACGATTGTTTGCAGTCCTGAATGTCGGTTCCTGATGATTGTAGAGCACACACATCAAAGGGTTTCCCTTGATAGTCTGAGTGCGGGGGACATCTTCCAGACGCGTTACTGTCTTCAAACTATCAAACTACAATCCATAGGACGATGCTTATTCAGTAGGTCAGGGCCAAAACGGTTGTAACAATTTCAGTGGTACCGTGCAGCCCGCTCACTTGCAAAAGCTACCCTGGACTACAGAGCTTTTAGGCTAAGGAGCGGCCCCAAATCATCCTAGGGCGTCGCACAATCAACAAACCCATATTACTGGTACGTCAAGGCCCTTGTGATGTTTTCTCCAGGGTTTGTTCTTGTTGTAGATGCAAGCCTTACCGATGCGCTGATGCTATAGTGTTGGCACGAAACTTACACAGGCTCCACATCGCACACAACCCTGATCCGCTAAACTCGCCAGAGAAACCCCAAAAATCGGTTAGGACGAAGCCCTACACACCCGATGAAGTCCTCTTGTCAATCCGTGTAGGCT